ATTGAGGGAAGTGATTCTTCCCCTCTATTTGGCACTGGTGAGGTCACATCTGGAATATGGGGTCCAATTTTGGGCCCTTCACTACAGAAAGGATATGGATAAATTGGACAACATCCAGCAGAGCACAACAAAAATGGTTATGGGGCTGGGGCACATGAGTTATGAGGAGAGGCTGAGGGAACTGGTTGTATTGAGTTTGGAGAAAAGAGTAAAGGGAGGATTTAATAGCAGCCTTCAAAAACTAGCTGAAAGGGGTGATTCCAAAGAGGATGGAGCTAGACTGTTCTTAGTGGTGGCACATAACAGAACATGGAGCAGTGTTCTCAAGTTGCCACAAGTGAAGTTTAGATTAGATATTAGGAAAAACATTCTCACTAGGAGAGTAATAAAGTACTGGAACATGTTACCCAGAGAGGTTTTGGAATCTTCATCCTTGTAAGTTTTTAAGACCTGGCTACACAAAACCTTGGTTGGGATGATCTAATTGGGGATGGTCCTGCTTTGAGCAGGGGGTTGGACTAGATGACCTCCTGAGGTCCTTTCCAAACCTAATTTTCTATGATTCTGTGACCTAAGGATTGATATTCCAAGGCAAAAAAAATGTAAAAGCCAGTTTGAATTGGAAACTGTGGAACAAGGAATCATTCACAAAATGGACTGTGTTAAGTATGATTTGAATAGGAACTTGGGATTTTTATCTCATTACTTAGATGATTTTATCTTGCTGGGATCCTATGACCCCAGCTGATTTCCTGCCCCTTGGGCAGGGGGCTGGACTTGATGATCTTCCGAGGTCCCTTCCAGCCCTAATGTCTATGAAATCTATGAAATCCTTTGTGACTCCTTTGTTCCTACAGGTCAAGGCTAGGCAATTATTTTGGGTGGGGGGCCCCTTAACAAGTTTTGGTGAGGTGTTCAGGGCAGCATGGGTAGTCCCCTCAATAGTTGCTGGAAGTCCCATCCCCTAACCCCTGACCTTTGCCACCAGAAGTCCTTCCCCTTGCCCCCCAGAAATACTCCTGGGGGGCGGGGCGGGGGCATGTCTACCATCTTGGAACCAGAAAATAAACCAAATCATATATGAAAAGTCAAACACTATAATATATTTTAATTTATTACAAAAATATTTTGTCATGATTTGTGTTTGCACAGTGTATATAGAGGTAATTGCATAATAACTCAAAATAACTTATTAGTTTTGTACATTGTGGGGGACGGTGTGTGTGTGTGGTGTGTGGAGGATTTGTATGGTGGGGTGTAGGTGTGAGTATGTGGTAGGATGTGGGTGTGTGTGGGAGGAATTTGGGGATGTGGCTGTGTGGGGGGTGAAGGGTATGTTGGGGGTTGTGTATATGTGGAGAGTTGTGGGGGCAGGGTGTGGGTGTGAGGGAGGGTGGGGGGCATGGGAGCCTCCCATGTTCCCCCCCATGGCACAGCAGCAGACTGTGTGTTTGCACCCTAAGTACCCCACCTGCTGCTGCCATCTCCTGCCGGGGCTACGTGCCATGGGGGACATGTGGGGGTCCCCACATGCCTCACCCCCACTCTCCCTCATACCCCACTCTCCTTCATATTCACACACTGCCCACCCCAGCTCCACACTGCTGTTGACCCCCTGTCCCCTGAGCATGGGCTCCATGCTGCCACCAGCCCTAGCCCCATGCTCCCTCCCAGCTGCAGCCCAAACGCTGCTGCTTGCCTACCTGCTTGCCTACCTTCCCAGAGCCAGCAGGAAACTGGGGAAGCGAACAGCTCCTGGGGGCTGCGGCCATGCATGGAAGCTGCATGCTGGCCAGCCAGGCCCTTCTGCCCACAAGGGTGGGTGCCAGGTAATTGGGTATGTTTTGGGGGTTGTGTGTACATGTGGGCGCCTTGCTCCCACCCTTCTGGGTGGAAGGGCTGGGCGGGGCACAATTTGTGTGAGGGCAGGGGCCCTGCGGACCAGATGAAAGTGCTTGGCAGCCCAGATCCGGGCCATGGGCTGTATTTAGCCTCACCCCTGCTATAGGTTCTTTGCTTGCATCCTTCTCTCAGTACTCCCACTTCCCCTTCTCCCCCTTCCTCTTCCCATCCTTCCTGTAACTTCTGTTTTCCTGCCTATTGTATTCTAATTTGTCACTCTGCTATATACTTTGCTCTGTGCTGTCTTTTTGCAGCATTTGATGAAGTGAACTTGGGTTTACAAAAGCTTGTGCTTATATGGGTCAGATGATAGATAGATAGTCTATCTGTCTGTCTGTCTATTGCACAAGTTTTTGTGAACCCAAATTCATGTGAAGACAACACTTCCCTCCCATCCCCACATACATACATGCTGTGTGGATGGCATGCAGTACGTGCCCAGGATCAGCTCCATGTCTTGCATACTGTGCACACTGCAGACCAGCCCTGTGTGCAGCATGTACTCTGGCCCCATTGCACACCCCAGATGGGCCCCATGTGCAAATACACCTGCCCTGGCCCTGCATACTGCATGCAGTGTATGTGGGGTCCACTGTCTTTCCTATAGGCAGCACTGTGGGTCAGATGATAGAGTTCTGCAGGCTGGATCTTTGGCACCCTTGATCTAAGCAGTAGAGTAATAACACAGATTAAGGGACTATCAACATCTCATAAAACCCTATCTTAGTTCTGTAACCAAAACTACAATTTTATGAAATCAGTTTGAGCTAAAAACAATTAATTTTTTTTTTAGTTAAAAAAAATTACCAGATTCAGTGACCATATTTCCTACATCTGCACAATTTATTGCGAGTAATGCTTCATTATGGAGTAGCTGGGATGGAATTTGATTTGTGGTGGAAGGTTGTTGCTTCATTTTCTCCCTGCTGCTATGCTAGAACCTAATTTGCAAAACTACCTTCTGGTTGTTTTAAAGTCTTTAAATACCTTGAGGGATGAAATGACTTTGTCATCCTAGAAGAATTAAAATTTTCAACAGGAACTCATGATTTGGTCCTTTGGATTTTTCATATGTTAATACTGGGCTCCTGTTTTGTTTCAGTCTCCCCAGTAAGCCCATGTTTAACTTTATAGCACTAAAAAGAGTTCACGAAACAGGCATCCCTGTATATGTCCACCCGCCTACCCACATACAGTCTCCCTCATGTCAAAATTGTTGATACTGTTTAAAGCATATGGGATGCCAGAATGTATGATACTTGGTTGTTGTTTTTTTCGTTTTGTTTAAATTCAACCCCGGTAATGACTTGTAGCCGCTATGGCTAAGGACAGACATTACACATAAACCGGTTTTAGTGAAACTGGTTTAAACCTATAACAGAGAAGACATTCAGTGCACATAAACCAGTTTGAAAGTGGCTGAAACCGGTTTCAGATAAACCTGGTTGAATATAGTATCAAACTTAACTGATTTGGCTCAAACTGGTTTATCCCAGACCCCTTGCTGGTTTAAATTAAATCAGACTCCCCCAGCATCCTGACATACTCTCTGAGCTGGGCAGAGCTCTGTTCCCTGTTTCAGTGAGCTGGGCTGGCCCCTCCCCTCTGCTCCCTGCGCCTGCTCTGGCTAGAGTATGTCCAGACGCTGACCTGCCATGGCCCTTGAGGCAAAATCCCTCCCCCCCCCCCGGCAAACCCTGGGGACCACAGCTGCTATTTGCCAGCCCCAGCCACACCTCCATGGGTTGCCTGCAGCCAGGCAAGGATGGAGTTAATTCCTCCCTCTGTCCCCTGAAACCCCTGGGGGTTTGGCTGAAGTCTCTGCAGTTTGGGAGGGGATTAATTCCACAGCATGTCCATGGGGGAGAGAGGCAGATCCAAGCCCTGTGTACAGATCCAAGCCCTGTACATGTGAGCCCAGATCTAAGACCTGCAGGACCAGACTGAGAGGTGGGAAGTGTTGGTAAAGACCTGACAATCATCACACATGCTGGAAATGTAGTTGTAGACAGCTTCACCAAAGAATGCAGAGAGCTACATACCTAAACAAAACCTTTTTGAATCCCTGGCTGTAAGGATTAATGAAAGTAATTCTTGTCTTCCTGGTTTACATTTAAGTTAGACTAAGTTGTATATCCTGTGTTTTACTGGGCTGTATCTTAGCTTAGGCGCAGATTGTGGGTAGGTCCCTGGTATATGCTTTGCAAATTGCTGTGTTCAATATATGACTGCTTCAGAGAAAGGACTTTTTCCCCATCCCCACTCGTCAGTCTGATAGCAGCTGCCTCCCTCCCCACCATGCCAAGGGTGCTGGCTGGCATCCTGTGTGTTGTGCTAGCCTTGACTGGTGCCTGGCCACACCCGCTTTGCTCCAGCAGGGAGGGGTGAGAGCCTGGGAGGGTGTCTCTCTACCTTCCCCTTTGGCAGTGGCTGGCAGGCATGCTCTAGCGTCCCCAAGTTTCTGGCTTGAGCACTGCAGGCATGTGGCTGCATTTCCTGGTTTAACAGAGAATGTCTGCCCAATTATTAATCAGTTTAAGCTGCACAGCTTAGACTAACCTACAAAGAGTGAATCAATTCAGGCTTGGGCTTTTTGATTGTCTGTCCCTGGCCTATGGGGCCCTGCAATGTTACCAGGCCCTTTGCTTTTTATTTTAGTTGTTCAGATAGCACATGAGAATAGAATGTAAATAGATATCAATAACAACATCATTTTTCTTAGCAGTTAAGTTCATGTACTTCCTTTTATTATCTAATAATTCTACAGTTCATTAAGTATATCAATATTTTCCAGTGTCCTAGGTGACACTCTACTTCTGCTCCATAACTAGCCAGTGAATGCTTTCACTGAAATCTTATTTGAGAAGCTACAATATGTTCATCCTTGATACTTAGGCAAATTTGCATTGCAGAGTGATTAATTGCATGCAGCTTTTTCATCCACTTCTAATTTTTCAGGGGACATAATTGGATGCAAATTGGCCAGTGTTAATCATTAGATATCACTAATTAAAAACAGAAGCTGTAGGTAATACTATGATTATTGGTAGAAATAAATGAAGCAGATCAGGTAATACTTTTCTTTGGAGACTAATGCCTTGTGTCTGAGCCTCATTAAATTGTAACATGTGAAGGTGCCCTGCTGGTACAGACTGCAGAAGAGATGTATTTAGAAGTAAGTTAAAAGTAATGTATGAGGTCAGTGTCTGAGAAGAGGTGGGGAGGGGAGGGAAGCATTCCTGTGGCTCAAGGACTTTGCAATTTAATATATTAGAAACTTTAAAAAAGAAAATTAGGTAGAAATTGGTTTCACATAACAAAATTTGGGTCAAGGGAAGCTGAGGATGTTTCTTTTCTGACCATGTTTCTGAAGTGTACCAAAGCATCGTGCCCTGAACATTTAATAGGCATTGTTTTAACCCAATCCTTTAATCTTATAGCACGAGGCTTTTATTATTAAATGAAAGTAGTGAGTTGTTTGTTTGTTTGTTTTTTTTTTTGGATGCTTGAACTGGAATATTTTAAAGGAGACTTGTTTCAGAAAGTGGGTAAGTTACACTTTGTGAAAATTGCACTTCTTTAAAGTATCTAAATTTGATCACTAGTCATCACATATTTCTTTTTTTCTCTAATAGTTTGTGATGCTTAGGGTTGTCTCTGGTACTTTGCATTGTAAAATACTGTTTTAAGCTGACTATAGCTTTGGCAAAATGAAGCTAGGTGGAGGCAGAGGGACTTGTGCACTGAATGGGGCCAGGGTCTTGTGGAAGATGGGGTAATCCAAGTAATGATGAATCATCATAGGTACTCATGAAAGGACCAAATTAACCTTTTGCAGTCAAATTGAATTTTGGCCTTTTGTTCTTCAGTGCTTGGTTTTGAAAATTCAAGGTCCTTTTACTACTTTGTGCAATGCATATAAAATAAATGTATAGATATTTTTTATCATGTAGAATCTTTTGATTTAATTAAAGAAAACACCAAAACCTAACTTTTTTGTCAGCCCATGAGACTTCTTTATTGATTTACTTTCCCCCCCCAACTTCTTCCTGCAAGACTATTTATTACGCCTGTGCGAAGTGGCTAGTGTTCATTCTGGATTCAGATTTGGCTGATTTGGGGGACAGTGATTCAATTCGGTGATTTGAATCACTGTCCCGAATCAATTCAGCTGAATCTGATTTGGAGATTTGGCTGCTGCTTGAATCAGCCAAATCTCTGAATCGCGCAGCCCCCATCCCCCGTCCAGCTTCACCTGCCCCAGCTCCCGGCTCTTTGAAGAAAAAAAAAAAAAGCCCAACTAACTGGCTGCTGCCTGCTGCCCCCCTCTGCCCTGTGCTGCATGGGTGGCTCTGTATGAGGCCCCAGAAGCCCTGAGGCTGCTGCAGCAGTCATGTTTCTTGAGGGGCCAGAACTGGGGCA